TTGTTAATTAAAGCATTTATTTCAAGTTTTGCTAGAATTTCAAGCATCTGGATCTTTCTTTGGAAAAAAATGGGCAACTAAATACTTTTTCATACGTAGGGCAACTTATTTATAGATTGTCAATTTTATCGGTATTGTAGGAGTTTGCTAAGTTACAAACAGAACTTCAGTTGGCTGAAGAACTTGCTTACTGCAGACGAGAAGTGAGTGACGTACGCAAATCATGACCGGAAGCGCCAATGGCTGGTGAGCAAAGATACCAGCACAAAGCCTGATTGCACCCCAAAAAGGTATTGCTCAGTGCATGGTGAGGATATTCTGAAATTATCCATTGGGAGCTACTGTCTAAAGATGCTACGTCACTGCCAAACTATAATGTCAACAAACGGATCGTGTGGCAAGCAAACTCAAGAAATAAAATAGAAAAATTTGAAAAAAAATGCTTGAAAATGTACAACCTACAAAATATATAATGATATATGATGATAATAACAATAAAACTATTGTTTGATTAGTCAACGGAGAAAGAAACCTAGTTTTTGAATTTTTTTTTTTTGATCCCTCTAATGCTCCTATAAAAGGACGTTCAAGGGTTCAGCTAAAAACAGAGAGAAACAATTGTGTGACGCATCATAGCGTATATACATTCCACAGATGGGCTACGTGTTAGCCGCAGGTGGTGCAAAAGCGTTGTTTTCAATTTCGTCTAAATAACAAGCGCTACCTACTTCTAAGCATTGTTACAAGTGCTGCGTAAATGCATAGGTTTGAAATGAATTGCCGTAACCAATCTAATTTTAGATGCTATCTTGCATTATTGACATATGGGGAGGAAGAATGCCGGCGCGATTCAAAATACTTGATAAATTCAGTAACCAAAAGTTTTGATAGTTATTGTGTTATGTGTATATGAGTTACATTGTTTAAGCGACGTTATTTTTAATACAAACAAATACAGTTCACTCTGTTCTGGAGACGTTGGATAACTTTGAAATTTACCTTTCGCAGCAGTTGAAAACTGAATTAACGAATTCTAAAGGAGATTACCCATCTGAACGTGTAATAAATGGAATAAGAATTTAATAGAGCTCGAAAAATTAAAACTTCACTATCACTTCCATATTGGAAATGCGAGGGTAGTACTTAAGTTTAGTCCACTTTTTATTCTTTTGCTTCACCTCCGATTGAGGTAGAAGACTAGGTTGACTGAAGTAAAATACTGTTCCTTGGGCTCTTTGCGTTTCTTAACTCTTTGCTCGTTAAGCTTCTGCTGTCTTGTGTGCCTTTACAGGTTTGGAGTGCTTACGTTCCCTTTCTTCTTCTGTTATGGCTAAACAATTCTTTGCGAAAATTATCTTAAATCATCTTATTAAAAATTATCTTTCTTTCATTTAAAGCGTTTCAATGTTTAATGAAGACAATATAATTATAGTAGCACTTAGATACAATGGCATCAAGTATCGGTACTACAGTGGAACTTG